TTTATTCATCCATCGATAAGACACTTGGGCTGCTTCCACGTTTTGACTATTGTGAATAATATTGCTATGGAACATGGGTATACCCATATTTCTTCAAATTGTTTCAATTATTTTATGTTTAATTTTTTGAGGAAATGCTGTATGATTTTCCACAGCCTCCCTTCCCCCTCCCCTCCCCTCCACTCCCCTCTCCTCTCTTATCTTTTTGAGATGGAGTCTTGCTCTGTTGCCCAGGCTGAAGTGCAATGGCGTGATCTCAGCTCACTGCAACCTCCGCCTCCTGAGTTCAAGCGATTCTTCTGCCTCAGCCTCCCAAATAGCTGGTATTACAGGCATGCACCACCAGGCCCAGCTACTTTTTGTATTTTTAGCAGTGATGGGGTTTCACCATGTTGACCAGTCTACTCTCAAACTCCTGACCTCAGGTGATCTGCCGCTTTGGCCTCCCAAAGTGCTGGGAATACACGTGTGAGCCACCATACCCAGCCGGCTACACCATTTTATATTCCTACCAGGAATGTACAAGAATTATAGTTTCTCCACATCCTCACCAAACTTGTTATTTTCTGGTTTCTATACATATATATATTATATATATATAACTGCCATCCTAACAGATGTGAAGTAGTATCACATTGTGGTTTAAATTTGGATTTCCTTAATGATTAGTGATCTTGAGCATATTTTACTTGCGCTTATTGGTCATTTGTGTATCTTTTTTTTTTTTTTTTTTTTTGAGACGGAGTCTCGCTCTGTCGCCCAGGCTGGAGTGCAGTGGCCGGATCTCAGCTCACTGCAAGCTCCGCCTCCCGGGTTTAGGCCATTCTCCTGCCTCAGCCTCCGGAGTAGCTGGGACTACAGGCGCCGCCACCTCGCCCGGCTAGTTTTTTGTATTTTTAGTAGAGACGGGGTTTCACCGTGTCAGCCAGGATGGTCTCGATCTCCTGACCTCGTGATCCGCCCGCCTCGGCCTCCCAAAGTGCTGGGATTACAGGCTTGAGCCACCGCGCCCGGCCTGGTCATTTGTGTATCTTTGGAGGAATTCAAGTCCTCTGCCTATTTTTAAATTGGGTTGCTTTTTTGTTGTTGAGTTGTAGTTCTTTGTTTTTCTGGATACTAATCCCTTATCTGATATATGATTTGCAAATCTTTTCTTCCATCACATGGGGTACCTTTTCACTCTGTAGATAGTGTCCTTTAATGAACTGTTTTTAATTTTGATGAAGTACAATTTATTTTTTCTGGCTTTAGGTTTTACTTCAATAAATAGTAGTTACAATTATTATCATTATTTCTTCTTTGTTTTAGTGGGAAAAGGAGATAGGTGAAGGAAGAGATGGAAGGAGACAAAAATGCATTCTCACTAGATTTGGGCATATTTACAGAGAAGCAGTGAATTTTTTTTTTTTTTTTTTTTTTTTTTGAGACAGAGTCTCGCTCTGTTGCCCAGGCTGGAGTGCAGTGGCCGGATCTCAGCTCACTGCAAGCTCCGCCTCCTGTGTTTACGCCATTCTCCTGCCTCAGCCTCCCGAATAGCTGGGACTACAGGCGCCCGCCACCTCGCCTGGCTAGTTTTTTGTATTTTTTTAGTAGAGACGGGGTTTCACCGTGTTCGCCAGGATGGTCTCGATCTCCTGACCTCGTGATCCGCCCGCTTTGGCCTCCCAAAGTGCTGGGATTACAGTTGTGAGCCACCGCGCCCGGCCGAAGCAGTGAAATTAACAGTAATTTTTTTTTTTTTTTTGAGACGGAGTCTCACTCTGTCACCCAGTCTGGAGTGCAGTGGCGTGATCTCAGCTCACTGCATCTTCCACCTCCTGGGTTCACGTCATTCCCTGCCTCAGCTTCCCGAGTAGCTGGGACTACAGGCGCCCACCACCATGCCTGGTTAATTTTTTGTTTTTTTTTTTGTTTTTTGAGACGGAGTTTTGCTCTTGTTGCCCAGGCTGGAGTGCAATGGCATGATCTTGGCTTACCGCAACCTCCACCTCCCAGGTTCAAGCGAATCTCCTGCCTCAGCCTCCCTAGTAGCTGGGATTACAGGCATGTGCCACCACATCTGGCTAATTTTGTATTTTTAGTAGAGACAGGGTTTCTCCATGTTGGTCAGGCTGGTCTTGAACTCCCGACCTCAGGTGATCTGCCCGCCTCGGCCTCCCAAAGTGCTGGGATTACAGGCATGAGCCACCATGCCCGGCAATTTTTTGTATTTTTAATAGAGATGGGTTTTCACCATGTTAGCCAGGATGGTCTCGATCTGCTGACCTCGTGATCTGCCCACCTCGGCCTCCCAAAATGCTGGGATTACAGGTGTGAGCCACCGTGCCCAGCTTTTTTTTTTTTTTTTTTTGAGATGGAATCTTGCTCTGTTGCCCATTCTGGAGTGCAATGGTGCAATCTCGGCTCACTGCAACCTCCACCTCCCAGGTTCAAGCAATCCTCGTGCCTCAGCCTCCCCAATAGCTGGGATTACAGGCGTGCAGCACCAAATCTAATTTTTGTATTTTTAGTAAAGATAGGATTTTACCATATTAGCCAGGCTTGTCTCGAACTCCTGACTTCAAGTAATCTGCATGCCTCGGCCTCCAAAATTGCTGGGATTATAGGCATGAACCACCGCACCCGGCCAAATTAACAGTAATTTAGTCAACAATAAATATTTATTCAGCGTTGCTTATACTTCAGACACTGCTCTTAGCAATGGAGATATAAAATGACAAAACATACCTGTAACAGTATGCTTTGGAAAGATAATTCTAGCGACAGCTTAGAGACCTGGAGACAGGAGAGACTGGAGGACAGGAGATGGGTTCAAAGGTTACTGGAATACTAGTCCTATGAGATGAAGGTCTGAACTAAGTAGCAGTGGGGATGGAGAGCTGGGGAAAGATCTGAGACATTCCTGAGGGGGAATCAAGAGAGTCTAGTGACTGGATGTGACAGGAAAGAATGGGAGGAAAGCACAGGCAATCCTGAGACTTCTAGTTTGAAAGAATAGAACTGATAAGGTTAGTTAGCTATGACTTTGCAAAGAGTAAAGTCCTGAGGTAAGGAGATACAGGGCAGCTAAATTGTAAGGGATTGGCGTTTATGCTAAGGTGTGGAAAAAGGGATATCAAGTGAGTAGTTTTTTTGTTTTGTTTTTAGTAATCTGGAGCTGGGGTATACTGTGCTTATGGATTCCACCGAACTCTAAAATCTCGGCCCAGGTACCTTAGCACCCACAGATTAATTAGACAATTGAGGGCAATGAGTATAAAAACCCTATATTCCATTGTTAATCAGAAATGAATCACTAAATTCTGTTAAAAACATGTATTTGTGGCTGGGAGCGGTGGCTCACACCTGTAATCCCAGCACTTTGGGAGGCTGAGGCAGGCGGATGACCTGAGGTCAGGAGTTCAAGACCAGCTGACCAACATGGAGAAACCTGTCTCTACTAAAAATACAAAACTAGCCGGGCATGGTGGCGCATGACTGTAATGCCAGTTACTCAGGAGGCTGAGGCAGGAGAATCGCTTGAACCCAGGAGGCAGAGGTTGCGATGAGCCAAGATCGTGCCACTACACTCCAGCCTGGGTAACAAGGGCAAAACTTCGTCTAAAAAAAAAAAAAACCCCAACAAAAACATGTATTTGTGGCCAGTCAGGGTGGCTCATGCCTGTAATTCCACACTTTGAGAGGCTGAGGTGGGTGGATCACCTGAGGTCAGGAGTTTGAGACCAGCATGGCCAACATGGTGAAACCCCGTCTCTACTAAAAATACAAAAATTAGCCAGGCATGGTGGTGCACACCTATAGTCCTAGCTACTTGTGAGGCTGAGGGAGGAGAATTGCTTGAATCTGGGAGGCGGAGGTTGCAGTGAGCCACTTATTGGGGAGGATACAGGCTAGAGAGCATTAATTTCTAATGGCTCCATTTGGTATAGTTTCATAGGAAAGCTCTGAAACTATAATGCAGAAAGGAACTAAACTGCCTCTTTTTTTTTTTTTTTTTTTTTTTTGTGGGGTTCCTGCCTGTGCCGGATTTCTTACCAGAGTTTGTTAAGTATGCTCAACAGCTAAGGGAAGGAGGCTAAGAGTACGTTTCATTCTGCTGTCTTGGCTTTAAATGTTTGGTTTGGGCTGGAGCATTGGATATGGCTTTGTTTCCAATACATACTTCAATATTAAAAAAACAGAAAAAGGTTTTTAAAAACATAATTATGACTCCATAATCTGCCATGGCAAAGACTGCTTTCAGTTACTTTCTAAGAGAACCCTAATCTAGGCATTATCATTCTTTTTAACCTGCTCAGATTTTCAATTTATGTCAGAAAACCCATGTTAATGTCGAACCTGCCCCTGCCTCAGAGTAACCTGGTTTAATCTCTTTGGGCTTGTTTCATCATCAGCAATAATTGTCTTGCCAATGTCACTGTCATTGAAGGAGCAAACAAGGTAACAGATGCAAATGCCCTTTGAAAATTTCCCTACATGTAAGTGAACCATCACTATTATTCTCAAAGTCTTATTTACAACCTTGGATGGCTGAATGAGCATAAGGTGGTCAGACTTCACTGTTCCTAGTAAGTTTTCCATAGCCTCTGCTTTAGGAGAAATAAATTTCCTCACATCCAGTCTTTGCTTTGTTGACTGCTCAACACCCTCTTTACTTGTCTCACTTGCTTTTCTGAGAGTGACCATGACAGCATCCCTCCAAACAGAAGGGTGTTTCCCTTGTATAGACAAGCAGGTGCAGTCCCACCAAAATTTATTGAACTCCAAGCTAGATCAAAAGGTGGAAGCGCACCGATGAAGAAACGGAGCCTCTGTCTTCAGGAGCTTACATGGCCATTAACAGAGTGATACTGATCACATGCAAGTGGGAGTTGCCGCCTACTTGCAGAAGAGCAGGGGCTACAGTCAAGCAGCAGGGGGCAGAAGAGGCTCGAGCTCGGCTCTGGAGGACGAGCTGGCCAAAGCCAGGATAGAAACTCCCGTGACCCATTCGTGTCTGCGACTTGGAAGGCAGCCCTTCTGCCACTCCGCTTTCTTAAAGCCCAGAGCAAATAAAAGATCCTTTTCTATTACTACAGTAGATAGACTTATAGTCCGGACTTTGAACTCACAGCGATTTGCCGCACCATTCCCTCTTAAGGAACTACTGCGCCCTCCGGCGGAAGAACAGCGGCGGAATTCCACAGCGACACCTAAAGTCCCTGAACACCTTAAAGTCTTCCCCCTAAAGAAACTCGGCTGCGTCTGGCCCCGCCCCTCACTCAGTTCCGCCCCGGGCGCAACCTCGTCTTATGGCACCGATTGGCTGACCCCCGTGCGTGAGGACGTAGCGTCGTGGGGCGGGGCGGACGAGCCCCGTCAGGCCCCAGCGGTGTGTCCCAGGCCGTCGCCCCCGCTGTCGCGCTGCATCTGCTCCTTGCATGCTTTTAGATGGTACAGCCCTCAGCCGGGGCTTCGGGGACAGTGCAGCCGCTGAGCATCTCTGCTGAGCTTCTCCGCCGATCCTCCTTTTCTAGCAGGCAGCTCTTCTAGGCCAGGTCCAGGTCGAGGGGGAAAATGGCGCCCGCGCCCCTAGGCATCCCGGAGGAGCAGTTGCTGGGGTGTCGATCTGGATTGCTTTCCCGGTTACTCTTCCTTGCCCAAAGCGCTCTCTTCCTGTTGCCCGCCGCCGGAGCAGGTCTCTGCCCCGCGCCCTGCTCCTGCCGCATTCCTCTCCTGGACTGCAGTCGCAGGAAACTGCCCGCACCGAGCTGGAGGGCGCTGTCGGGCCTGCTGCCCCCCGACACCGCTATCCTGTGAGTAGAGTGGCCAGGCAGAGTGACCAAAAGGAGGGGGAGCTTTCCCTCCACAGGGGCAGGCAGGCAGGAGGGAGACAGGCCTGCCTGGTCGGAGGGCGTGGTCGAGAGCCTAAGCCCTGAAGGAAACTGCCCTCAGGATGTTATGAACTTTGTTTTAGGTGGTGGGAGCCTGAAAAAGCCGGTGTTAAGGTTTCTGGAGACATGTATGATGAAGACCAGAGTTAAGATTCTTGGGTCCAAGGAGTCTGTGATTTCCTCAGTTGGGGAGGAATTGGGGCGGGGATATTTAATGATAAGGACTCACGGGTCCTGGGCACCAGCATGGACTTTGGATGGTTGGTGGGGGTGGGTTGAGCACGGAACAGTGCTTTGTGCTTACTTTGAGCTGCATTATTTGGTGTGTACCTCAGACTTAGTGGTCCTCAGGCACGTGATTTTATAACCATGATCTCCAAAGACCTATGAACTGTCTTTTGTCCTTAGTTCGCATGTTGGCTGATTTTGTGCTGCAGTTTTGATACTTAACAGGGTTGAAAAGTTCATTATGATGAATCAGGAGATCCTGTACTAATTCAGAACATCTTTGTAAGTAGCATTCTTGATCTAATTTAAACTTAACTGTAAAGAGGAGTATTTTTTCCAAAACCATTTGATGCCTTGTTTTCAGGCATCTTCTTGTGGCAAATAACCCAAAAATCAGTTCTGTTTGTTTATGTATGTAAAGCAGGTACAACGGTTGAATGCATTCTGGAGTCTCCACTGTTGAGTTTTCACTTTGACAGGTCTTTATTAGACAGTGGAACTTGGAGGGCTCCTCAGTCTGAGTCAGCCTGGGTATTAGAACAACAGCAGATATTAAATGCTGCAATTATGGGTCCTCTTAACCACTAACATACAGTTATTTCTCGTCACTAACTGAGCAACACGTTTATTAACTGACAGATTTCTGATGGAGTCGTTAAGAAAGGTCCTCACTGGGCCAGGCCTGGTGGCTCACGCTTGTAATCCCAGTACTTTGGGAGACCGAGGCGGGCGGATCATGAGGTCAAGTGATTGAGACCATCCTGGCCAACATGGTGAAACACTGTATCTACTAAAAATACAAAAAAATTACTGGGCGTGGTGGCGCGCGCCTGTAGTCCCAGCTACTCGGGAGGCTGAGGCAGGAGAATTGCTTGAACTCGGAAGGTGGAGGTCGCAGTGAGCTGAGATTGTGCCACGGCACTCCAGCCAGGAAACAGAGCGAGACTCCATCTCTAGGGCAGGGCGGCTCACGCTTGTAATCCCGGCACTCTGGGAGGCCGAGGCGGACGGATCACCTAAAGTTGGGAGTTCGAGACCAGCCTGACCAACATGTATAAACCCCGTCTCTACTAAAAATACGAAGTTAGCTGGGCGTGGTGGCGCATACCTGTAATACTAGCTACACCCTGAGGCAGGAGAATCACTTGAACCCGGGAGGCTGAGGTTGGGGTGAGCCGAGATCATGCCATTGCACTCCAGCCTAGGCAACAAGAGCGAAACTCTGTCTCAGAAAAAAAAGAGAGTCATCACTAGAAAAACAGGTTGAAGTGCAATTAAAATATGAGAGGCTACTTGCATTTTTATTGGAAATAGAATACAAATAAGAGGTGTTCTGGAGGTTAAGAAGTATTTATTTATTTATTTATTTATTTGAGACAGCCTCTCGCTCTGTGGCCCAAGCTCCGCCTCCCGGGTTTACGCCATTCTCCTGCCTCAGCCTCCCTAGTAGCTGGGACTACAGGCGCCCGCCACCTCGCCTGGCTAGTTTTTTGTATTTTTTAGTAGAGACGGGGTTTCACTGTGTTAGCCAGGATGGTCTCGATCTCCTGACCTCGTGATCCGCCTGTCTCGGCCTCCCAAAGTGCTGGGATTACAGGCTTGAGCCACTGCACCCGGCCAAGAAGTATTTATATATTTGCAAATAGGTTAGCACAGATAGGAAAGAAAGCTACCTCATATAGTCATTGAGAAAATTAACATAAATAACCAAATGTTTTAGTAAACATAGAACTGCAGTGCAATAAGATGCTTTCTTTTTTTTTTTTTTTTCTCTGTGACGAAGTCTGGCTTTGTCACCCAGGCTAGAGTACAGTGGCCGGATCTCAGCTCACTGCAAGCTCCGCCTCCCAGGTTCACGCCATTCTCCTGCCTCAGCCTCCCACGTAGCTGGGACTACAGGCGCCTGCCACCTTGCCCGGCTAGTTTTTTGTATTTTTTAGTAGAGACGGCGTTTCACCTCGTTAGCCAGGATGGTCTCAATCTCCTGACCTTGTGATCCGCCCGTCTCGGCCTCCCAAAGTGCTGGAATTACAGGTTTGAGCCACCGCGCCCGGCCCAAGATGCTTTCTGTCTTATGGTAGTGACACCTGTAGTCAATTCTGGTTTTACTGACTCAAATTTAAAAACTCGTATCAGTGTGCAGTGTAGTCTGAGTTAAACCTAGCGCAGACTCTTTGTTACGCAGCAAGTGCCTTTTTCTAAGACATTTTTGGAAGAGCTACGTGATTATAACAATAAATCTGGCACAGATTTGACAAACAACTTCATTTAGCTGTAATTGAAATGAAAGTGGCCTACTTTTTTTTTTTTTTTTTTTGAGATGGAGCCTCGCTCTTGTTGCCCAGGCTGGAGTGCAATGGCGTGACCTTGGCTCACCGCAACCTCTGCTTCCTGGGTTCAAGCAATTCTCTGCCTCAGCCTCCCAAGCAGCTGGGATTACAGGCATGCGCTACCATGCCTGGCTAATTTTTTGTATTTTTAGTAGAGGTGGGGTTTCACCATGTTGGCCAGGCTGGTCTTAAACTCCGATGTCAGGTGATCCACCCACCTCAGCCTCCCAAAGTGCTGGGGTTACAGGTGTGAGCCACCAAGCCTGGCCTGGCCTACTTTTTTTTTTTTTTTTTTTTTTGAAAGAGTCTTGCTCTGTCATCCAGGCTGGAGTTGCAGTGGCATGATCTCGGCTCACTGCAGCCTCTGCCTCCCGGGTTCCAGTGATTCTCCTGCTTCAGACTCCTACGTAGCTGGGATTACAGACTTAAGCCAGTATGTCCGCCTAATTTTTGTATTTTCAATAGAGACGGGGTTTCACCATGTTGGCCAGGCTGGTCTCGAACTCCTGACCTCAGGTGATCTGCCTGCCTCAGCCTCCCAAAGTGCTAAGATTACAGGCATGAGCCATTGCACCCGGCCACAGCCTGGCCTAGTATTTAAGATTCTCCATTGGTTGGTAAACATTTAGAATTAATTTTACGTAAGATATATTTTTGTGTTAAGGTTTGATTTTTGTTTAATGAAGACCAATTGCCTAGAGCCAAGTGACATTCAAAATTTTTAATGTCCTATAATGAAATTGACATTTTCAGTTGAAATGAAATGCCTTAGAGAGCAATTCTGTTGTAGAAATGTAATTGGATGGAAGTCTTGTATTGGTAGAACTCTTAGAATATTAAAAGATAGTACCATACTATTTTAAATTGAGAAATGAAACATTCTTCAGCAGTTGCCTTTAGCTATAAAACCACCGAGTACATTTGGATTTCTTTATGTAATTTTGAATGTTGAAACACATGTAATGCTTTAAATATATTAGTGATTCAAATTCACATGCTCAAACCTGTGACCATCAAAATGATTATGGACAAAATTCATTAATACTGGTTTTTGGAAACCTACTCAGATGCTATCTTTATGCTTCTCTGTATGAGAAACTCTCTAGAAATATTATTTGATCATTCAGAGCTTGACTGGATTCTCTGTAGGTACAGAGCTCTTTATCACACACACAGCTGTTTACACACACACAGCCTTTAAAGATTAGGTTTATCACTCAACTGATTTTGCAAAGTAACTTTGTTAGAACCCCTTTCCCCCAATAATGTGTTGTCTTGGTCATTTCATGATAGTACCAAAACATTAAGAAGTATGTATTTTTAGGGTTAAGGACGCTTTTATAGATTATATAGATTTAGCTTTATGAAAAATTTGTAACCTTTCTTTACTGTTTTATTTCACTGTAGACTGCTAAATTTTTTTTTTTTTTTTTTTTTGAGATGGAGTTTCTCACTTTCGCCCAGGCTGGAGTGAAGCAGTCTGATCTCGACCCACTGCAACCTCCATCGCCTGGGTTCAAGTGATTCTCCTACCTCAACTTCCATGGTAGGGATTATAGGCCTCCTTCATCATGCCCGGCTCAGTTTTGTATTTTTAGTAGAGACAGGGTTTTGCCATGTTGGCCAGGCTGGTCTCAAACTCCTGATCTCAGGTGATCCACCTACCTCGGCATACCAAAGTGCTAGGATTACAGGTGTGAGCCACTGCGCCTGGCCAACTGCTAAAAGTTTTATCATGGATCAGTATTGGGAACCCATGCTGTACTTGATTAATTTATTGGATTATGTATATACTTAGTTACCTATACTTTTTTAGTTCTTTCTATTTTCATTATAATTGTTTAAAATTTGCTTGCATTTGTTTCTTTTTTTTTTTTTTTTTTTTTGAGGCGGAGTCTCGCTCTGTCGCCCAGGCTGGAGTGCAGTGGCCCGATCTCAGCTCGCTGCAAGCTCCGCCTCCCGGGTTTACGCCATTCTCCTGCCTCAGCCTCCCAAGTAGCTGGGACTACAGGCGCTCGCCACCGCGCCCGGCTAGTTTTTTGTATTTTTTAGTAGAGATGGGGTTTCACCAGGTTAGCCAGGATGGTCTCGATCTCCTGACCTCGTGATCCACCCGTCTCGGCCTCCCAAAGTGCTGGGATTACAGGCTTGAGCCACCGCGCCCGGCCTGCATTTGTTTCTTTATAATAGTTGTGAACAGATTCGTGTTTTAGCATATAGAGAGGACATAAGCTTATGTTTGTTTGTTTGTTTGTTTGTTTTTTGAGAGGGAGTCTCACTCTGTTGCCTAGGCTGGAGTGCAGTGGCGCAATCTCAAATCACTGCAACCTCCACCTCCTGGGTTCAAGCAATTCTTTGCCTCAG